GAAACGAAAAACATTGAAAGTCCTAAACTAATGACTTACAGCCAATGAGCCTCCTCAAATAGCAGCACGTTAGTCCAATAGAGATTCTGGCAAACACTCCTCCTTTTAGACAATATAACCAAGTGCAGCCTCAAATCTGGGACGACTTCTGTGTGGGGATGGACCTCAACTGAGAAGTCATGGCGTTTTGTGGGGATCACACTCTGCCACACACCAACTCGGCCACGTCCATGGCAGCCTGAAATGTCCTGTGGAGAGCTTTATAACAGAACTTAGAAGTTGGTTATATATAAATTATGTGAGATGTATATTCCTGGGGGTGTGGGGGGGGTGGGGGGGGAGGACGGAGATGATATTTTAGACTTTATTATTCATTTATAACTTACGGGGCGGGAAAATTCTATTTAACATTCACAAAACTAACGAAGTCTAAAAGACCTTTTAGTTCTGTACCTGGGTTTGTGTAAGTTGGATTTGAGAATATTCGGTATATGATCCTCATTGTAAATGTCTGGGCACAAGCAAACTTTCCAGGGAGTATTTCAGACTTGCAAGGAAGTGGACCTGGTGAGACCAAAGTCAAAGTGTCCAAATTTAAAAGGGGACCCGGCTAATATCTGGGTTATAGGTGAAACAAGCAGAGCATTCATTAAGGTGAATATATGATATGTTAAAATGCAAATTGGAAAACAGGAGAGCAGGGGAGCAGGACCTAGAGGCCCAAGAGAGGTGGAGGGAATGTGCTGGGCTGGTTGGAGGGCGGGGCTGTGGACACACCCTCTTGAAGCTGTACCTGCCCCAACTCACAGAAACCCTTTGTGACTCCACAATGCTCTGTGAGGCAGGCCTGGCTATAAAGGCAGGAGTCTGAGCTCTCAGAGCTCAGTTGCTTCGAGCAGCATTGCGATTTGGAAAATGGATCTCAGTCTATTTCTGAATAGCCTACTAGAGTTTTATCTGAGCTTCAGATTTGAACATTTATATGACAATCTGAGCTTCAGCTTAGAATATTTATATGACAATCTCAACACAGTTTCCATCTTGGTGTTGAGCTTATTCCTCTTCTTCATTTCCTTTGTGGGAATTCCATCAATCCCAAACTTCCGGAAAAATGAACATACAGAAAAGGTAAGGAACCCTGAGGGAGAGTTTAGTGGAACCAAGCCTTTGTGTTGGCCTGAAAGCAGAGCAGTGCTGAGCCACTGAGAGCCTCTGAGTGAGCAGAGGCTGCAGCCTGAGCATATTACATTACTGGGTCCTATATGAGGGGACAGAGATGGACGGTAGGCCTCAGATTATATGCTGAGAAAACCAAGTGTGGACCCCATAAACAAAGTCCTTCTTTGAGATTTTCAAAATGGAAAAATTAAAAATATGTTAAAGCTTTAAAAATGATAAAAGAAACACAAAGTTCTATCAATTAAAATGTATTATATATGGGTGGCTCAAAGAAACATTATTCTTAGATAGTATATGTCTAAGTTTTCTAGGAAGAGGAGAAGAGAACTGAGTCCCAATGACCATACTTTCCTTTTTGTTCTCAGTGTCAGAACAGAGCCAAGAGGAGAAGGAAAGGTGGGACACGGAAAGGTAAGGTTCTGCCTATTCCACCTGAGCTCCCCAAGGGTGACCCTTCCTCTCTCCTTTCCATGAGGTACTAGGTCCATGATCTCTGTCAGTTGGTAGATACAACCCTCATAAAAGAGGCTCATGGAAATTCAGAACCTGAGATACTGCTCAGATTCCCTGCTCTGCTGTCCTTGGGTAAGAAGCAGTGATGGACATGGGCCATGGGTATTGCGCAGTAGGGGTCAATAGTCAGAAGTTCTATCTCCTGACTTTGAAAAAGTGCTTTGGCTTCAGGATTATCAGATTCCTCTTTGTTGTAACCATTGACCCCTCTGCTTCACAGAGTGGTTTTGAGCATCAAATGCAATTATTTTATAAATGAAGCGACATACATATGGGGACCTTATTAATATCATCATTGACCATTTGACCTAATTCTTGGGGCTTTCAGAGTCTAATATCCCAATGGTCTCCCATAAAGGGATTCCTTTGTAATGCCTATGTGTCTACCTTCATTACATGTAATTCACTCTCCTGGTTCTCAGGTTCAAGATATTACCACAGCCAAGCGGAGGAGAAAAGGGAGCTGATTTCTTTCCTAAAAAGGTAACTAGTCTTTCCCCTTCTTCCTGAGCTCTCTTTATCATGGTCTATGCATTTCCATGGATTCAGTGGAACCTTCCCTAGTCATGGGAGGGGTTGCCATAGGAACGGAAATGTGAGTGAATGCTTGGGATGAGTGCATTGTGAAGTCATGAATGTGGAGCAATGTGAAGGGCAGCAGGCTTCAGGTGCCCCACCCTCACCAGGCCCGTAGGTCCTCTTTTCCTTGTTTTGATCCTGGCTACATCTTTTTACCTCCTGTCTCCTGCAGCCAGAAATATGATATCACCCACTTTCGCCAACTTTTATGTCCAGACCCCTCCTGTGAGTTGTGTAATAAGGCAGCTGCTGAAATTAATCAAATGGTGTCCTCAGAGGCCCAGGAAAAGTCTACTCCCTCTGTAGCCCCTGTGGCCCCTGTGACTTTCACAGCTCCTGTGACAGCTCCAGTGCCTGAACCATCATTCAGTCAGTCATCTGCCTGGTCAACAATCTCTGAAGAAGAACTAACAACAGCTCCTCTGCCTGAGCCTTCTCCACCACCTCCCTCTGTTCTATCCCATAACTCAATGACCCCCATGGGTGATTTTTTATCATCTTCACCACCCAATCAAACTATGCCTCCAGCGCCAGTGCACCATTCTGAACCCCGGCGCAAAGACTTGTTCTCTTCGACCTTGTCGCAATCTGATTTCCATCAAGGGTTGCTTGCTCAGCGTTCTACAAAAACCTCTTTTGGGGCAAACCCTGCAGCCAAATTTATAGATCCTAGACACCTCTTATTTCTCAGCCCTGATGAGCATGACTCAGCCCAGCAGCACATAGATCCTAAAACCTGGGATAATAATGTAAAGCAAAAACTTACCCAGCTTTTTTGGGGTCTTCCATCTCTGCACAGTGAGTCTTTGTCCTCTGCTGTTCATGCCTCAGGTGACTGTGCAGTGTTCTTTAATAGCATTTCAACTACCTTCACAGGCCAAAAGTCCCCAGGACCTCCTTATTGCCGACCTCCATCCTTGCCTGAGGTTCAACCTCAACCCTTGCCTCAAACCCTGCCTCCATCCCAGCACTTAGATCTTACTCAGATCCAACCCCAGGCCCACCTTCAATCCCCACTCCCAATCCTACCATCCAGTCCCATTACCCAGAAGAAGGTCTGTGAAGTGTTTTCCCGTAGACCCAACAATGAATCAGAATGTCTCACCTCATCTGAAACTAAGCATCTGGAATCAGATGTGTTGCCAAAGGAACAGAAAAGTTTGAGGGGCTTAACCTCTGTGGTTCTAAAATCTAAGGCCCATGTTGCAATATCCATCAATCCTGTAGAGTTACCTCTTAGGAGTGAATTTAAAGAGAAATTTGAGAGTCACCTTAGAGTGAGGCTCATTCAATACCACAAGGGCCAGCCCTGCAGGACCCATTGGTCTCTCTCACTACTTGAGCCAAAGAGCAGTTCTGATCTCTCCTGGGTCCCTGTGATTAAGGATCAGAGTAGTGATAGATTGAGCCAACCAGGAAGCCCCTATGAGAGGAGCTCAGAGAAGTCTCAACTAGAGGAGTATGAAGGGAAGGATAAGGTACACAGTCAAGTGAATGATCCCAAAGTTTACCTGTTGAGTCATTCTGATAACAATGTGGGGAGTGGCTCTGAGGTGATGAGCCTATCAAGAGAAAACTTTTCTTCTTCAAGCAAACTCATTTCCAAGGTAAACACTAAATCGGGGGTCTTCATGCCCCTGAGAGGAAACTCTGACTCTCTTATTGGGCACAAAGCGGGAACACAAAGTTTAGCTGATGACCTGAATTTTCCTCTCCCTGCCACCTCACCGGTGAGCAAGAAAGGACATTCACCGGCTGATATCCAACTCACACTATCAGAGGAAATCCAGAAATTCTTGAAAACCAAACCTATCAAAAACACCATCAGTGACAATAAAAGTCAGAGTCATTCTTTGATATCCAACATTCAACCCCCAAAGATGCCTGCAAGGATAGAAGGGACAGGACAGGAGACAAAGAATGCCCACCCACAGATGAATTATAATAACATGGGTGGAAACAGGGAGAAATCAGAACCTGCTTTCATATCTAGAGTGTCCAGGGAGATAGTCAGGCCTGAAGAGCTCAATGCTCTTCAACTGGAAAGGAGTGACGTTTTGACAACCAGCAAGCCAGGAATCTCCCAAAGAATAAAGCCAGAAACTATTGTGACCATTGAAAACCCACCATCTAAATTAGTTCAAGCTCCTAATTTATTAGAACTTAAAACACAAGTAATGGCTGAATTAATGGTGAAGTTAAAGAAAAAGTATAAGCAGGCCCACGGACAACCCTGGGACAATTCCAGTGACTCAGACAGCTGGACATACAAATCCTCCCCGTCACCTGCTCAGGATGTCTCCATTGCTGATGCAGGAGTGCCCCAGGGGCTGCATGTCCATTCAAAGGACAGTGCAGTCAGTATAGAGAAGCAACAGGAACCTTGGCTTCACAGGCATGAATTAAGGACCTGTCAGGATCAGAATTTACCTGCTGAGTTAAAGAAAGATACATTGCACTCTCCTCCAAAGCCTACAGGCTCCAAATCAGTAGAGCGTGGTGGAGGAGATTCACGAATGAGACTTTTCCAACCTGGAGGAAAGACATTTCCTTCTCAGGATAAAGGTTTAGAGGACATACTTGGGAGCAAGTCTCCCCAAAGCATATCACAGATGGGACAGGTGCCTCCACCTCTCCCTACCTCCTCATTTGTGGGCAAGGCAGATAGCAATTTCCTTGGTAAAATGAAGAACTTTTTTCAACGGCTTTCACCAGGAATAAAATGGAAAATGCCAGAATCCCCCCAGGAAAAAGGCATCCCCCTAACATCTGCACAGAGCAGAGGCCCAGTGAAAAGCACAGCTGCCTTTACTGGGGCAGCACATGTCGTGTCAGACATCAGGAAGTCCTCAAGAGAGAAACTGGGGCATCAGCAGGCAGGAGCTACCAACTGCCCTCAAGAGTCCCTTCCCTCGGCAGCGCAGCCTGGGAAGCCTGTGCAGAAGGAAGCAGTGCAGGCCCAGGCAGAGCCAGGCCAGGGGCATCCTTCCCACCGCAGAACTCCCGCAATTAAAAATGCCATGTCCAGCCGCCACGCAGCTATCTTGGCTGACAAGGGCTCTAGACATACCATAAACAAGGACAAACACCCCCAAAACGTGGCATTAAAGCCACATCAGAAGGACCCCCAATCTGTGCCCCTCAAGGAGACTGTGCCTCCTCCAAGCCCCACCTGCAGGCTTCAAGTGGCCAAGGGGCCTCTGGCTGTTCCCACCACTGCTGGAGGCATTGCGTGCAGACATCAGTCTCCTCGATTTAGACACACAATGCTTCTCCAACATTTCCAGCGGGAACCATTTCCTGACCCCATATAACCCCCCCCCCCCCCCGAGAGGAGTATGGGCTTGCCTAATAAATGACTCTAAAATAATAGTGATGTCTTCTCTGTGTCCTGTGTTGGGGGCATGGGTTTAGGGTTTCTCAGGGCTTGTGCTTAGGGAAAGACAGAAGTTCAGTTCCTACTGATGGCTTCCTTTGGCTTCCAAAAGTGATGAATTCCTGCCCTCACTGGTTTGGCTCAGTGGGTAGATCGTCAGCCTGTGGACCGAAGGGTTCCAGGTTTGATTCCAATCAAGGGCACATGCTCAGGTTGTAGGCTCAATCCCCAGTGGGAGGGTATGCAGGAAGAAGCTGATTAATGAGTCTCTCTCATCAGAGATGTTTCTATCTCTCTCTCATTTCCTCTCTGAAATAAATAAAAATATATATTAAAAACACACACACACACACAAAAAAAAGTGACCATTACCTAGAGCTAGAGGGCAGATGAGAAATATATATATCATCTGCCCTCCCTCAGAGCCCACTTCCTCCCTGATAAGGTTTGAGGAGATGGGCTCTGTCTCCAACCATAGCTTAACCTTAATGAACATGGAGAGCACCCCACACCTTCCCCTTCAGGGAATGTTTTATGTCCTTTAAGGCTGAAGAGAAGACAGGCCTTCTACATCTGAAGATTGAGTATGGGTATATTATTTTCAGAAAGGGTCAGTGAAGAGGATCCCACAGGTGGATGAACCCTAAATGGGAGTGTTTGGGGAGGGGGGTATTTTTCTCCTGCCATATCTGCACACACATCCACCCTTATTATAGTTGCCTGGAGGGAAGGCAAATCCACTTGTACAGGCTGAAGCACAAATATGGAATGAGCCTCCTTGTGAGCACTTCAGGTAGCTTTCCCAGTAAGCCTTGTGAATCTTGAGTGTAAAGAGAAAAAGCAAAATAACAACAAACAACAGAGCCCCTCTCACTACTACACTAGTATCTTCTTGTCTAGAGTTATGTCATTGACCTTACAATGTCTGAAGCTAGCGATCACAGAAAAATGCAGACCAAAAAGGATCTAAAGATAGAATAGAGTCAAAGGCAGGGAACATGAAGAGGTGAACAGGCAGCAGAGGGCTCTAACATACACATGGACAAGCAGCCAATAACACAGCCTCCCAGTTCCTACCCCATCTCAGTGTCCTTTACTTTCACTCCATAGCAGTTACTGCAAAACTGCAGACCTTATTTCCAGGAATGTTTCTGCCTCAGGAATAATATAGTCTGACCTTTTACCCTATGGCCTCATCCCCTATCCTTCCAGCATAGATGCCCATTGTTAATTTTTTTTAAAAAATTCCAGGCCATTCATGTTTCCACTCACTATCGATCCACAAAGCTCTTGGCTTCCTCCCTCACTTAGGTAGACTTGATGGTCTATCTAGTGACTCACATTTAAGAAGCTCCACTTCAATGGGCCCCTTCCAGTCCCCCTGAATCCTTCCAGGCGAAATTTCAACTCCGTGTTTTTTCCAGAAATGTCTTCCCATAAGTAATGATCACTACTGGATTACTAGTAAATCTCACAATGGATTCTACTGGTGCCATGAAACTATCTGGAAATCATTCATTCCACAAGTAAAGATACCATGCTTACATGTAAACAAAAATATGGAGCTTAGTTCCCTCTTTCCCTTGTCTATTCCCTCTACAACGCTCCTTAAACCCATGGCAAATCTCACTTTCCTCAAACTGAGGCCATCTCCACTTGCTCAATGGATGTGCTGGACACAGAGGAGCCAGAGGCCGTGAGATGGGGACTTTTCAACGAAACACTTAAAAACAACAGTGTATGTGCATTCAAATATTTAGAATAAATTTTTCTGTTGTGCACGAAAATGACTTAAATGCAGATCAGATACAATTATTTCTTTCCAAAAATGCCATTAAAATATTAGATGAAAAGATGCTCAATATCACTAGCCATAAGAAAAAAATGCAAATCACAAGCACTAGGAGATAGCAACAGAAACACCTACACAAACACACACACACACACACACACACACACACACACACACACAAAGGGTAGAATCACAAAGTCAGGTAAGTCTCACTGAGAATGTGGGGAAAGTGGAACACTCACACATAGCCAGCAGGAATAAAAAATGGTGCAGCCACTTTGACAAATAGTCTGGCCCTTCCTCAAAATGTCAGAGTCTCCATATGACCCAGAAACTCCACCTCTAAGTATACACTCATGCGAATGAAAACACATGTCCACAACAAACAAATGCTCACAGCATCAGTATTCAGTATTCATAATACTCAGAAGGTGGAAACAGCTCACTTGTCCAACTGATGAATGATAAATAAAATACAGCACATCCATGCAATGTAATATCTTTCGGCAATAAAATATTAATACATGCTATAACATGGATGAGCCCTGAAAGCATTATGTAAGTGAATAAAGCCAGTCACATGTGATTCCATTCATAAGAAATGTTCAAAACAGATAAAACTAGAGAAATAGAAACTACATCAGTGGTTGCTTAGGGCTGGGGGTAGGGGAAGAAAGGGGAGGCGAGAGATGATAACTAAAGGTAAGTTTTCTTTTTGAAGTCATGAAAATTTTAAAATTGACTGTGGGGATGTACATATTTGAAAATGCTAAAATTATAAAAGTATACACTTTAAATGGGTGAATTGTATGGTATATAAACTATTCTATATATAATAAAAGCCTAATATGCAAATTAACTGAATGGTGGAATGAACAGCAGAATGACTGGTCACTATGACACACACTGGTAACCAGGAGTCAGACACTCAATGCAGGAGTTGTCCCTAGTCAAGGGCAGCCCCTGGGTTGAGCGTCTGCCCCCTGAGAGGGAGGTGACTATCAGTAACAAAAGCAGCAATCTGGATGCGGCCAGGTAGCAGGTGACAATAGGCTGCCAGCAAATGTGGTGCCAGTGGGGGCGGGCCATCGATCACCCCAACTGCTGGTCGGCCCACATATGGCCCTGATTGCCAGCCAGGCCTAGGGTCCCTATCCATGCACGAATTTTGTGCATTGGGCCTCTAGTATTTAAATAAACAAGTAAAGGATTTAAAAAGAGTAAGTGCTTGTGAAGAACAAATAGGGGAAAGGATAAGACAAATGATGTCAGCACATTTCCAGGAGATGGGAATCCAGGTGAGGAGAGGTCAGTAGACTAGCGAAGTCCGGGGAGGGGTGGGGATTTGGGGAGTGGGGTGTGGAGTTCTGGCAAACCCATCACAGCAGAAAACCCTAGGAGACGAATGACCTGGTGATGGCACCAGACAAGAACCAAGGGGTTCCATCTGGTAAACATCTTGAATTTTTGTTCTTGTATTGTTTTTGTTTTAGTTTCTTTATATTTTTAAAAAGATATTCTTTCTTTGGTGGGGGCATGACCTTCTCCAGTAACTTTTAAAATCCTTTTGAGAAGTTAGCACGCTTCATATGTACAGTGGGTGTCAGGCTTCTTGCCTGGGACAGAATCAGATCATTGTTTTAAAGTTGGCATTGCACACTTCTGGGGTCTGGGTATGGTGGTAATAGGTGTGAGCTACAGAAATCAAAGCTAGAAATCTCAAAGGTCAGGTAAAATTCAGGAAAACAATGGGCCATTTAAAAAAAAATACATGTATTCTATATAATAAAAGGCTAAAAAGCAAATCAAATGAATGGCAGAACAACTGGTTGCTATGACACATTGAACACCAAGGGGCAGAAGTTCAATGCAGGAGCTGCCCCCTGGTGGTCAGTGTGCTCCCACTGGGGGAGCACCACTCAGCCAGAAAGTACCCAGGCTCAAGGCTGGCAAGCATGATGGAGGGAGTTTCTCCTGCCTCCATGGCAGTCAGACATCCCCTGAGGGTTCCAGACTGCAAGAGGGTGCAGGCTGGGCTGAGAGAGCCTCACTCTCCAGCGCAGGAATTTCATGCACTTGGCGTCTAGTTTATAATTAATTAAACTGTGGAAGAGTTGCATGCATGGTAAAACCAGAAACCCTTTATCCATATTTACCCACTAACATTTTGACACATTTGTGATTTCTCTCCCGTCTCTGTTTCTGTCTGCTTACCCGACTGACATATCTCTTAGGGACCAGTCTTGCTATAAGAAAGTGATCCCAGAAGTACAAAGATAAGTGGAGGGATTTTTCTGAAGAGACACCTCCAGCAGTCAAGGGAGGATCAAGGAAGGGGTTGGGGGCTAAGAATGCACCTTGCTTTTGAATGAAGACAATGGTGAGGCTGTGTATCCTGGAGAAGACACACACAGAATGGAGCTGTCATTGCTGGTGAACATCCTCAGTGGGAGGGAGAGGATGGAGGACGAAGGCAAAGCCTGATTCCTTGGGCTCAGAGAGGGAACGCAGGCAAGAAAGGTTAGGAAATGGCTTCATTTCAGCAGTCTATAAGCCAAACAGGGAAGCTGTAGTGGTTGTAACTATTCAAGGATTAGCTGGGGAGAGGAAATGAATACATATACAACCTCAACAAAAACTACATTATTATTTAAAAAAAAAAAACACAAAAAACTATAGAGATGCCCATAGGGACATTGGTAAAAAGTTAGTAGATTTTGGAAAACAATCATTAATGTTTCATAGAAGTAAACATCAGTGTAAAAAGCAAACAACAGACAAACAAACAAACACAAAAACATATTGTAGAAACAAAAAACACACAACCCAAAATGTAATGCTAAATATAATCACAATTCTTCTCCTTAGAAATTATGCTAAAAAGAACTCCTTAATCAAAATGTGTTTGGTCCTCTGTTGTGACTAGCACAATGGCTATGTAAAATAAAGAATTAAAAATCTTGTGGAAAGAAAGATAATTTGGCAGAAGAAAGGGGGATCAGCAGGGCTGGACACTGTATGGTGAAGGGGATGGGATTTGAGAACCTAGGGGCTATCTAGGCTATTAGAAGCTTATAGCCTTAAGGGGATCTTGCCTGTGAAAAGATTAGTAAAGAATTTGGAGATGTTTGCTATTGGTGCATAGG